AAGCAGCTATAAAGACACATTTGCCTATAATGACTTTTGTTCTCCTGGCTCTGGTGCACGTGGTCTTTGTGAAGTTCCTCTGAGTCACTGTTGGGTTATTGTCTGACCCAGGACAACTCCATGCACAATAGCCCCCAGTATTGCCTGGTCCTGCGCCACCTTCACAGTCGCTGTCCACCCACCAGTCTTCCTCGCGGCCACTGTGTATTCCAGGGGCCTTCCAACCTCAGAGCTCGTCCCATTACACTACACCAGAGAGCATACCCTTAGGATCCCTGAGGTTCTCATTAGCTCATTTTCAGAAGTAGATCACCAGGCCTTTCCTTCTAGTCTGTCACAGTATGATCTTTGCCTTAAGTGTCCATAACAATCAGACATAAGACACTTTTATGACATCCAGTTCAGGAATGACAAATACTGAGGGCTTTTCTCCACTGTCACTAAAACCACTGGTGTCTCTGTGGAAGGCCTCTGTCAGGTGACAGCCTTAGCTTCTATGCTGAATGAAGTTTACAGAGTGATGGTGGTACCTTTCAACTCAGCATTTAGGGTGTTTTGGCTGCCCTTTCAGTCTAGTCCGATTCAGATAGATAGCAATGCTCTCTGGAACAGGATCAGTTATCATTAGTTGCCTAGTTTGAATAAGCTCTATGGACTTCTCCTTGGATATCAGTGGGAAGCTGCCACCACCCCTCCCCAGCTCCTCCTACCACCTTCTCTTCTTGCCCCAAAGGACCCTGTGGCCGAACTCAGTATGCAGGTGTTGGGGGTTGTTTGTGCGTGTTTGTGCACATGTGCTTGTGTATGTGTGTGTGTGTGTGTGTGTGTGTGTGTGTGTGTGTGTCCTAATATGAGCTCTGTCTCTCTGTAAGCATAAAGTGTATTAGGAGTCACTCAACACTTTTCAGTTTTAGGTCTTTTTTGTTTATTGTGGCTTGGATCTACATTTATAGAGCAAATGAGTTTTTCATTTAACAGTGTATACACATTTGGTTTTGTGACATTAGTTGCAATTCCTATAATATAATAGCACTCTTCCCACTTCTTCCCTGGGTTCCCCTGTTCCATTCATCCATCTTTCTGCCTGTTCTGCCTTCCACATTTTATTTTTCAGAAAATGGTATTCTTTTGGTTCCATATGATTAACTATTCTGAGGTGCACATTCTTACAGGTGGTTATGGTTCCTTTCATAAGCTCGTCTGTTGTTTGAATCACTTCCCCTACCCCTGTTGTGTGTCATCGAACCAGATCCAGTTAGCACAGATAGCATAGGAGGAGATTGCCTCTCCTTCTCCAGCGGAGTATCTGGTGGATTCAAAATGAGCACCTCTGGGATTGCAATGCAGCTTCTTGCCATTAGGCCACCAGAGCTCCCTATACCGTCTGTTACTGCCATCTAATTGATTGCACCTCACGGTGGCCCTGCATCGATTTCTAGGACTGTAAAGCTTCACAGGAGGAGACTGCCCACATTCCACCCATGGAGCAGCTGGTGGATCTGAACCACTAACCTCTTGCTTAGTAGCCTGGCATGTACATCTTCTTTGCCACCAAAAAAAAAAGTTGCTTTGAGCAATGTATGCCCTCCTGAGAGAAAATCATTGGTATTTATTTATGTAGTAAGAAGTTGTTTACTTATTTTCTCCTTTGACTGGCATTCTGTTATTCAGTTCTTATTTGGTTGCAAGTTATAGAAATTCAGTTTAAACTGCCTTAGGCCAATCAAGAAGGGAGGGAAGGAAAAGGAGAGAGAGGAATACTTTAGAGAATGGTAAAACTGTGCCTTGGAAATTTTGGGCATGTTGTCAGGAGGGGCCTTTCTCTGGAGAAGGATGTCATGCTTGGAAAAGTAGAGGGTCCATGAAAAATAGGAAGGCTCTCAATGAGATGAGTTTACACAATCGTTTCAACAGTGAGCACAAACATAGCAGCAGTTGTGAAGATGAAGCAGGACAGGATAATTTCATTCTGTTGGAAGTGAGGTGGGACAGTGACTCGATGGTACCTAACAGCAGTAAGTGCAAAATCCAAGAGGTAATGCTGATTTCAGGTCAGGCTGTATCCAGATGATTGGACAGAGTTGCTGTAAATGTGTTTCCATTGTAAGATTTTCACTTTGTAGAAAATTAATTCAAACTGCCATCAGCAAAAAAGAAAAAAGATGAGAGGTAGAGTAATATGTGTCTTCTATAATTAACAAATATATAGAGAATAACTTTGGCTTCAGGTTAGGCTGTATCCAGGTACACAAGCAGAGTCCATGAGTTTGTATCCATCTTTTAGCCCTTGTTCCTTCTCAGTTGGCTTCTTCCTCAAGTGGGACAATAATGACCAACTGAAACTCCAGGCTTACATCCTGCCAGGGATGCAGCATAAAGACCCCTCTTCCGAAAATTCCTGCAAAATTCCCAGGGTTGACCATCCTTGTCTCAATCTTTTTCTTTTTTGCTCCATCACATGATGCAGTGCCCAGTGCTGCAGAGCTGATTGGGTGGATCTGGGTCACATGCTGACCTCCAGATCCAGGAGTGTCCCACCAACCACAAGAAGTAAGATGAAGGGTGGGATGGTTTCTTCAGGTCATTGTGAGTGCTGTTAAATTAGTCTAAGTCTGCACAGGGCTCCAGTGGGTCAGAGATGTTGAGGACGGCACAGGATAGGACAGTCTGTTGTTCATAGGGTCATTATGAGTCATGTTCGACTCAATGGCACCTAACAGCAACAAGGGCAAATGGAAGCTCTGGTGGCCTGTAGTGGACAAGGAGCTGTTCTGCCAGCCAAAGGCAGGCAGTTAGAATCCACTAGATGCTTCACAGGAGAAAGATGAGCAGTCTCCTCCCATGCAATTTACAGCCTCTGAAAACCCATAGAAGTGTCAGTTATGAATCAGTAAGGAGTCAGCACACAACAACAATAACAGAGGAAATGACTGGGAGCCCTAATGGCCTGTGGGTTAAGCATAGTGACCTACAGGTCAGCGGTTGGAAGCCACCCATTCAAGAAGCCATCATGCAGTAGCAAGACGAGGCACCTTGGTTACACATCCTCCAGGACAGACTTGTTTACCTCTTTTGATGGCCCACGGGATATTCAACACTTTTCTCCAGCACCACAATTCATCAGTATTGATTCTTCTTTGGTCTGCCTTATTCATTTACCCAACTTCCAGATGCAAAGGAAGCAATTAAAAATACCATATGCTTACATCAGACACAGTCTTGGTCTTTAAATTGACCTCATAATACATTTTTTTTTACTGTTAAAATGTGGGAGTGTAATGAATGCCATAATACAAAACATGTTACAGATGATTGAATGGAGCTCCAATTTGTTCTGTAAACTTTAATTGAAAGCCCAAGTAAAAGTGAAGAATAGGGAAGAATCCTGTTAGTTCTTAAAGATACAAATAGAGTTGCCACGAGTTGGAATTCACTTCTAGGATCTGGCTTGTTTTTTCAACATGATTTAAGAGCCGAAAGTCAGTGGACAAGGAGAAGAGCAAGTGACAGGAGTTTAGTGTAACTGCCTCCCTCTTCAAGTCCCTAGAAATGGTCCCTCCTGGACACTATATGTAAGAACACATACATGTCTAAATAATCTCTAATAGTATTTTTAAAGAGCTGTAGAGGTAAACATCCACATATTTTAAGATACTGATGTTTTAAAACTACAGGAGAGTGAAAGATACTGTAAGCAAATTTCTAAGTAAATGAAAGACTGGAAAATATAACTTACATAAATCCTGAAGCATAATGCATTGCATGTTGTGTTGCTGAACACATGGACAGCCGTTCAAATCCATCTCAAGATAAAGGTGAGGCCGTTTGCTCCTGATCTGATTACAGCCTTGAAAACTTGATGGAGGGGCACTTTGAGTCAGAATTAACCCACTACTGGTGGGGTTTTTGTTTATGTGAAGAGCTCTCTTACACATCAATGTGAAAAATGGAAAGAGCACTTATTTAAGCAATCCACAGATGGAATGCACATGATCCATAAGAATATGGCTTCTGTCTGGCGGGAGCATACATGTTAGCAGCGTATGGAGTATGGAGGAAGACTTGTGCCAATCTCTGTTGGCTGGGAGTGTAGATTAGTGTAGACTTTCAGAGGACAACTTCTGTCTAGTAATAGTCTGGCACAGCAGTGGTTCAGTGGTAGAATGCCCACCTTCCATGCCTGAGACCTGGGTTCGATTCCCAGGCAATATAATTCATGGAACACTACCACCCATCTGTCTGTCATTAGAGGCTTGTGTGTTGCTATGATGTTAAACAGGTTTCAGCAAAGCTTCCAGAGTAACACAGACTAGCAAGTAGGACCCGGTGATCTGCCCCCATAAAGATGGCAGCTATGAGACCCTGTGGGGTGTTTCTTCTCTGTCACATGCAGTGACTGTGATGGGGAATCCATTCGACAGCACACACCTAACAAATACCACTGCCCCACGCAGTTGGGCCAACTCCACAGGGCCCTGGAGGCTCAGCTGCAGCTCGGAAAGCTAAGGCTCTCTGGGTCAGCTGTGCCCAGCTGCATGGAAATCAATTCGAGTCAGACCCCATTCCCTGTGGAGACTCACCCTCATACTGAAGTCATTAGCAGTTATATTCCACTAAGCATCTTTCTTCACCTTCTGACAAATTGTTTATGTGCAAGGAGGCAGACCAACGAGACTGGGGGCCAAGGACAATGACATTTTAATTTCCAGGTGATTTGTCAGGGTCAGTAGGGTGGCAGTGACTTTCAGGGAAGGAGACCTTTGTCATCTAAGTAGGGTGTTTACCATCCCCAGTCACTCTAGATGCAGCTCCTTGCTGTGAACTAGCCTGTCCTTCTTCTCATGGGGGGGGGGGGGACGGTGACCATAGCAACAAATCACCCAAATGTTTCCTTTAGTCCCATTTGCCTTTTGTTAAGCTGCCCTTGCTATAAACTGCTTCTATAACTGTCTGTTGTGACTGGTGTCCTTTCTTTGTTGTTTCTTTTCAACACCACACAGGAACAAAGAAGGAAGCACCAAGGGACCAGGATGCTCACAAGCCTGCTGTGTCCTCACCCAAGAGGACCCCAGCATCAGCCGCCAAGCTCCACTCCCCAGGTATGGAAGCACCTTGTCTGTTAGGGGGAGAGACTAGAACTGGGAGCATAGTGCATTCAAGTATCATCTGCGGAGCAAATGCACAGCTAGAGTCCAGGCCTGTGTCTGTGCTTGGCATCCCCAGACCCACCGCCCCTGGGCCTATTCCACCTGGAGATGACCCGACAGGACATAACAGAACTGCTCCTGGGGTTTCCAGAGGAGCTCTGGTGACACAGTGTTTTACGTGTGGCACAGCTAACCAAAAGGTCAGCAGTTTGAATCTACTAGTCGCTGAGGAGAGGAGATGGAAAGGGAGAGGGAAGGAGAGAGGGAGAGGAGAGGAGAGAGATGAGTCTGTCTCCAAGGGGAGGGCCACCATGAATCAGAATTGACTTGAAAGTGGCAAGTTCTAGGCATCCCAAAGCTGTAATCTACAAAAGAAAGAGGTCTGGGGTGTAGTGCATACATCAAAGGATTCACAGCACCACTGGTTCCAGTGTCCTCCCATTTAGACTTTTACAAGTCAATCCTTTTACAAGTATTTGGTTCATCAGATCCTGGGGGATTATTGCATAGCTCCACATGATACCTGTTGTTGTTGTTGTTGTTTGCCTTCGAGTACAGCATGACTCATAGGGACCCTATGAACAAAAAGGCCTGAAACCCCACTACAACTATGGACATTTATCAAAGTTCATAGAGTTTCCAGAGGCATGTTATTTAGGAAGCAGATGCCACTTCTGCATATGCATGTATTTTGGGGAGAGACACATTTTAATTCATGGCCCACTTTAACCTCAACTCGGAACAAAATGGAAAACGCACTTGCTGTGAAGTAATTCCAGCTCCTCTGGGCTCCTGAGGCCGTGAGTCCTCAAGTGAAGAGACTGCTTCATCTCCCCCCCACCCCCCACCCCACGCAGCAGATCCTAGGTCCAGACTGTCATCTGTTCATCCATTTGATTTACACACCCTCCAGCACCATGGCGCCTTCAGTGTAGAACAACAGTGTACAATACAACGACAGGAGGGGTTGTTTAAAACACAGAAATAGTATCAACAGTAGTAGCTAATGTTTAAGGTCTTCTTACTGCAGTCCGTGCATCATTCTAAGCTCCATAGATGGATAAACTTGCACTATGTCCTAGATAACTCTTGATGTAGATGCTGTTTTCAGTCTTTACCTGTGAGCAAACTCAGTCACAGATATTTCTGTTGTTTCCCCTCAAATCCTAGGTGATAAATAGTAGAGCTGTGAGTTTAGCCAATCTCAATCCCAAACCTTAACCATTACTCTGTGAATTCAGGAGCCCTCACACTCAGCTGCTAATGGAAAGGTTGGCAGTTTGAACTCAGCAGTCGCTCCACAGGAGAAAATACCTTGTCAGCTATTTGTGTAGAGATTACAGCCAGTCTCCCAAGGCTTCTAGCCAAACAGTAGACAGGTCTGTGAGGTGAGCAGTAACACAAGGGAGGTGTGTACTCCCTAGAGCAGTCAACTAGGTGAGACAGACGCTTACAGCTCAGATGGCAAGAAGGGACAGTAAAGAAGGATTGGTGGAAATGGGAGACACAGGGAGGGAGTGGGAAGTGGATGTTATATTTTAGAGATCGCAATCAGTATCACCAAACAAAATGTATTTTTAATGTTTATTCTATCTGTCTATCTATCTATCTATCGTGGGGGGTTGTTGTTTCTTTAACAGGAGGAGGTTGCCTATCTTGCTCTCAAAGGGCAGCTGGGGGATTTGAACTGGCAGAGAGGACTGCCCTTTGATTTAGTGGTGGTGGCATAATCCAAAAGTGATACCTCTTTGTGAGTTCAAATCCACTAGCCACTCTGTAGGGGGAAAATGAACAAATTCCTTCTATGTGATTTTCAGCCTCCAAAAACCCACCAGAGGGTCAGCTCTGAGCTGATTCTGACTTGACAACAGTGAGTTGAATTGTATACCAAAGATATTCATGAACCAGACTCTCTACTGTCAGTTCTGACTTGTAATAACCCTCCAGTGGGTTTCCGATGGGCAAGGGGAGATTGCCCATATTTCTCCCAACGAAATGGTGGAGTTGAACCATGGGAGCAGAGCTGTGTTTTTTTTTTTTAGCAGAGACTACATACTACCCTGAATGTGCCTGATCTCATCTGATCCTGGAAGCTAAGCAGGGTTGGGCCTCGTTAGTACTTGGATGGGAGACCACCTGGGAATACCAGGTGCTGTAGTCTTTGAAAGCAGGAGTGGCATCCACTTTCTAAACAGCATGTCTCTGGAAATTCTGTAACTTTGAGAATTGATGATAGTTATAGAAAGGCTTCAGGCCTTCTGTTCATAGTGTTGCTATGAGTCATGCTCAACCTGACAATAATCAACAATAACATCACCACCACTAGAGCTCTGATAAAAACCATTGTTGTTTTGTTGTTATGTGCCATCAAGTCAGAATGGACTCATAGCTGACCCTCCAGTAGGTTTTCAGAGGCTGTAAATCACCTCTCTTTCTCATGACCAACAGCTGATGGATTGAAATCACCTGCATTTGGGTTGGTGAGGTAACTCCTTCCTGATAAGCCACCAGAGCTCCCGAAAGACTACAGTCTTGAAAATTCTGTGGGGTTTAACAAGTCTTTCTGAGTTAAAATAAATAGGCAACAAAGCCAGATAAAACCTAGAAAGCCGCACAGCAGTTCTGCTTTATCACGTGACGCCACTAAGAGTCAGAATCTCGATGGCACTGGCAGTGCCCTTGCCAGGAAGCAGGGAGAGCAGGGTGGTTGGACGAACGTGACCACTTCTGGTTAACTGAACGCATGGGCACATGAGGTTCAGGGGTCAGAACCTGGTGCCTAAGAGGGTGGGAGTCCAGTCCAAGGACAGCCCCCTTGCTGGATGAAAAAGAAAGAAAAAGGAAGCCCATCTGTAGAAGAAACTTTGCTATACTTCTGGATGTGAGAGATAAGGAAAAACACTCCCTAAAGAGATCCCTGGGTGCCCTGGTGGTGCAGTGGTTAAAGTGTAAACACTCTGTCTTTCGTGTCACTGTCAGTCAGAACTGATGACGCAAACCTGCCACCATCCAGTTAGATCTGACCCATAGCGACCCTCCATCAGCTATCCTGAGCCATAAATCTTAACGGCAGGACCCCGACTGCCCACCTTTCCCCTGTGGGGGGCAGCTGCTGGTGGGTTTGAACCACAGAGCTTCCATTAGCAGCTGAGCAAACAATGCACTGCACCACCAGGACTCCTTGGCTCTGCAGTGGGTAGGAATTCCTAGTGTCCCTGGTGGCACAGTGGTTAACACTCAACTACTAACACAAAGTCCATTTTAACCTGCTGATTGCTCCCCAGGTAAAAGATGTGGCCAGCTGCTTTCCTAAAGTTTAATGCAAACGGTTCTGTCTGGCATCTGCAGGAAAGCCTGCAGTGCTAGTCCACTCAGTGATGCCTCTGAAGAAAGGCCTGGTGATCGACATCTGAAAATTCAGCCTTTGAAATCCCTGTCAGTTCTTGAGCTCCTCGTGTGCACGTGCCAGGCACCCTTCTCAAGGAGGCAGCAAACTCATTAGGTGCTTTTCAGTAAACCAGGAAGCTATCAAAGTTGTGTCCTGTAATTTTGTTCCCTCTTGTTTACAAGTGTGAAGGTCACAGGCCACCCCCGATGTTACAAACATGCAGCTCCTGAGCTGCACCATTTGTTTCTACATTAGTTCAGCTTTCTAGCTGCCCGGCCATTGGAGTGCCCTGGAGGGTGGCTGGGTGGCAGCACATGCATTTTTTATGTTGTCTTTCCATTTTCAACAGCTGTGTTCGCCCGAGTGCTCAGCCTTTGCACGCACAGAGTTTCATATGCCTCTGTGGGATATGAGACGGGACTTTTCCTGGGGCCCAGCATGGTCAGTGTCACTGTGACAATGGGGCATCTTCCCCGTCTTCTCCAAATCCTAGTTACGTGACCAGAAAGATGGCCAAAAGAAGTGGTAATCAAGGCACTATTTATTTTTTGCTTTTTATTGTGATCTGATTGAACATTGACAGAGCAGACCAGTGTCCCATTCAGCAGTTCATACACGTTATATTTTATGACATTAATTACAGTCCCCACACTGTAACAGCACTTTTCCTACTTCCTCTCTGTGTTTCTCATTTCTACTAATTCTTATTTCCTACCCCTTTCTGCCTAAGCTTTCTCCAAAGATGGATGCTGCTCTTTTGATCTCAAATAGTTGATTGTTCTAAGGCGTGCATTCCTCCCTGGTATTATTCACTTTAGAGATCTGCCTGTTTAGCTGAAAGATAAGCCACAGGGTGAGTACAGTTCTTGGCTTAAAGGGTATATTTTAGAGATAGAAAGAAAGAGAGAGAAAAAAGGAAGGAAGGAAGGAAGGAAGGAAGGAAGGAAGGAAGGAAGGAAGGAAGGAAAAGGAAAGGGGCTCAAATTAATTACTGTCAAGTCAAGCTGACTCATAGCCGACCCTCTGGGTTTTCAGGCTGTAAATCACACAGGCAAAGATTGCCCATATATGAAAGGAGCAGATGCAATGTGGGATGGCTGAGTCTGACTTCTAAACATTTCATAAAGGGGAACTGTCCTTTTAAGTAATATCCAAAGCAGCATATAGATAGCTCCTTGGTCAGCCATGCCCATGCTCCTACACCTATTTCCACCAATCACTGGTTTTGATATTCATTATTGACTCAGACTTTACTCAAAGTTGTGGTACCAAGAGTGGAGTTCATTAGGGAAGTAAGTTGGAGAGTGGAGGAGGCAAAGAATATCACCCAATGCAAGTCCAGGTATTAGCCCAGAAGTCCCAAGACAGATCAATAGCAAATCCAATTCCTCAATTAGTAAAAGCCCCAATGGTCAGCTTTTTCTTCCATCATCTGGCAAGAACAACAAAAACTTTAACTGTGGCCTTTATCTGAGAGCTCCTTTGTTTACATCTTGCCATAGTTTCTCCATAGCAATGCCACAGTCTCTCCACCACCATCACTAGTGTGTCACCAGGATCTCAC